TGGGTGCACACAGCATGCACCCAAGGATGTTGAATCCTGCATCAATCCTTTGATGGACGTGATGTCTGGACAGTTCTGCTGATTTTCTCTTTGTACCAGTGTCATTTAGATGAAGGCTCCAATGAAACTGCCACATGTCCTATTTGCTGTTTTACCCATGCACTTGGGATTTTTTCCCCCCTCTGATTTAGATTAACCAAGTAAGTTACAGGGGGAGGGGGGGAGAAGGAAAGAAAACTTTTTTAAAGGCAGAAAGCTGTTTTTAAACATTCTAAAACACTTGACAAAAACAAACAAAAAACCAACACAGCCTGTACACATTTAAAAGTAGGAAGTGGGATGTCGTGGGCCTATTTTTGGCCTTGTCTCTGCTGGAAAACTTTATAACCCACTAACCTCAGCAGTGTCCCCCAGGAGATGCCGCCTATGGGACGTGGAGGGCGAGGGTGCTGTGGTGGCTTCATCTGGGGTTCAGCAGGCACAGGGGAGCCTCTTGGGGGGAGGTGCGTTCTTAGTTCCGCCTTCACTTTCAGAGCTGCCTTGGTCTTGTGGCCCCAAGGACTGCAGGAGGACCAGGAAGTGGAAGCCCCTGGCCAGGGTTGGCCCACCATGGAGAGGGCTGGCCCAGGAACGCCCCAGAGTGGGCATGGCTGCCTCCTGAGAAGGAGCAAGCATGTTGCTGTCAGGGGACAGGCAGTTAGACCCTATGACCTTCATGTGAGTCCAGCCTTTAGATTCACTGATCCCACCATACACCTGATGTTGTTTTTTAAAGAAAAACAAAGTGAGGGTTAGACCCCAGAGCAATGCTTCTATTTCCCGTTCTTTTCGAGCAGATTCCCGGGTCCCTGTGTTGATCAGAACATGAGATGCCTGTTGGTGATTTGCCTGAGGACTGCTCTGTGAAAGAGATTGCTGGTCGTCCCTGCCTTGATTTTCTTCCCTGCTAGATCTAGATCCATCTTTCAGAGTGTTCAGGTCTCTGTGGTTGTGAATTGAGGCCTTACGTTGCACGGGGAATTGAAGAATTGTCTTTGAGAGGATGTCGCTTTTAACCCTGAGGTTGCCATTCGCATTATTCTATGTGGTCAGCTTTATCTTAGGTTTATTTTGTCTGCAGGAGATTTTGGATTGTCTATTTCTCAATTTTCTGAAGAAAGCTTTTCATGTTATACAATTTTCTGTAGTGAAACTCTTTGCAGGATTAAAAAGTTAAGTCTGTAAGACTCGTTACTCTTTCAGAAATTGGTCCCATCTTGCTTTATTTAGTCAACATGAGGTTTTCAGAAAAGTAGCCCTTTCTAAAAGACTGCAACATGCTAAAAAAAAATCTGCCAGAGTGTTTAGAAAAGTGCAAGTCCAGTTACAGGTGTTTTTACCTAACACAGGAAAACATCTGTCATAATATTTGGCAGATTGCAGAGGCGAGGCTGCGTGAGTTTGGGTGGCTTCCAAGCAGAATGGGTTGGAAGTTGATGGAAAGGGAACCCGGGCCTCCTCGTTGTGCTGCGGAGGGTGCCACCCGCCCTGAAGCTCGTCTGCCCGCTGCCGCCCTGCCCCTGGCTTTGCGCCTTCGACGCCTTCTCAGAAACCTGTTACTGGTTTCTTAGGAGCTGTTGGGTACACATTCTTCTTGGGTACACATTCCTGCTTCAGTTGTAGAACTTGGACTGAAAACTAGATACCCGTGAGGTCGGAGAGTCACCAGAGCCATCCTAGACAGAAAGATCCGGCACAGACAGCTCTTGGAGGTCATTCACACATCTCTGAAAGGACGTGTCTGCACCATGAGGGGGCCTCTTAGCATTTACACCACACAACGTTATGCTTGTTTGTTACAAAGAGGAAGGGAAAGGAGATGGCGCAATGGCGGGACACTGAGGCTTCTGGCCCTTTCAGGCATCGGCTAAAGGCTGGGAGCTCCGTGCACCCCGTCCTGAGGGGTTGGAGCAGCTGTCTCTTTAGGAGTTACTTTTTGATACTCAAATAGTTAATTTTATAAGTGACACATTAATATTTTGGGGCTTTGGAAAATCTTAAGAAAATAACAGAAGTGCTCTGGTAAGGAGGGTCCCCCTTTCCAGCACCAGCAGGACTGAGTGACTGGGGCCGGTGCAGGGAGTTGGGGAAAGCAGAGCGTGGGCTTTGGCGTTTGACCTGGGTCCCGCACCCTGCGGCCCTGGGCGAGGCGCCCACCCTCTCTGTTCCTGGCATCTGGGATGTGATGTAATCATATCTGCCCGTAGAGTCATTTATGGGCGGAACACCTAGAACAGGGCCTGGTACAGATGTTCAACAAGTGTTGAAGCCCTCTGTCAAGGATCCCGTAAGAAAAACGTGATATCGAAGATGCCCTGTTTCTGGTCACCTCTGAAGGGTCAGAACTGCTACTGTCCATCCTGCCTGGCTGGCCATGTTCTCTGGTGGAAGGAGAGGTGGCAGTGGCAGCAGCAATGGGGCGGAAACCCCACTGGGCGGCCTAGAAGGCCCCTCCCAGCTGAAGAACCCAAGACTAGAAGAGGGAGGTAACAGGCGGATGTGGGCTGGGGGCCACTCGAGGTTATCTGGTTAATGTCTTTTCTCGATGAAGGTGTGTCCTGCCTGATGCGCCAGGCTTGTTTCCACGCAAACCCATCTCCTTGTCTTCATTCTTAGCAGGGTTCCCGGTGAAACCGCCCTGCCTTTCTCTCAGCCCTGTCCTTTCCCTCTCCTTTCCCTGCCCAGGTTCTGGATAGGGGCCAGAAGAGGAGAAACCTGCGGAAGTTGGGCCTGCCCAGCCCGCCAGCTCCCTGGCGCTCCCTGGCGCTCCTGGCTGCCCAATGGTGCCGGGAAATGATGTGCTGTAACCAGATAGTGCTATTTCCATTTAGTTCGGGCTCTGTAATGTTTTCCTGTCCTTTTTGATGTATCTTCTAAGTGAACACGTCCTCAGGCTGTTGGGGAGACGTATAAATATTGTCTTGCGTGTGGCCAGGCCTGTTTCCTCCGTCTCCCCTGCCCGGGCCATTCAGCCCGTGATTGCAGATATGCCAGCAGAGGAATTGCAGAAATTGGCGCCAGCAGACTTCTTTTATACATGGAAACCCAACCTTTTGCAGTGTGGCTTGTTAATTTTTCTTTTTTTTCTTTTCATGCATCCTAGGAGGTGGAGGGGGTTGGGGAAGGGTTTGCGTCTCTTCCCCTGCCAGAGCATTTTCCAAGATAACTCAAGAGCTTGTTGGCATTTTTACATCAGAAATGGGGCCGTGGTGTTTAAATAACAGACTCTGGGGTTCCTAGGATGCATCCCCAGGCAGTACTAGGGCCAGTTCAACAGTCCGTCGGTGGTCACAGGAACTCTGGCTTTTGGGGACCAGCACTCTCTGGGGAATAGTGTTGGTTTAAACAGAGCTTGTCCCGAAGTTTAATATGTGTTGATCAGGTCATGGGGAGGTGGGGTGGGCACTGCCCTTGTAAACTATCTTGCATTACCACGTGCCTCCAGTTCCTGGAAACGGACTTGTATCCACTTTCTTCCCCACAGTAATCTTCATATTTCTCATATTTAAAAAAATATTTTTTTGATGACTGGCTTTAGTCGAAGATTCCAGTTGAATCTTAGATTGAGAGAGATGTGAGTGAAGTCAAAACATTCAGGTCTAATGGCTGCAAATGTGCATATTGTCTCATTTTAGAATGTTGCATCTGGACACAGCCTTGGTAGCCCCCCGATTACCAGCTTGTGTTTTTGTTGTGAAATCTTGGAAGAGCAGAACCGGCAGCATTAGTCTGCAGGGTTGCTTCTCTGGGACCTGTCTACATGTTTTAGGAAATGTTTTAGTACTCCTGTTTGTGGTGTTCCTTTATCTAGGTAACTGCTGCTCTTTGCATTTTTGGACCCAAGGTCCCTAGTGGGCTATGTAAAATCTTAATCCATGGAATATGGGAAATCATCCACAAGATCTAAGCCAGGCCGAGCCTGCTGGAATTATGCTTTCCTTGCGAACAGATTTAAAGGAAGACGCGTTTCAGATGCGGCCGCGTCCTGGTTTTGCTTCATAATATTCGAGTTTAGTCATTGACCTCTGTTGCAGTCTTAAAATGATAAATTTTAGATTACATGCACGGTGGTTGTTTTTTTCCTGGCAGAATGGAGGGATCTGTGTTTTACGATAATAAGGTAAAGAATCCATTTGGACTTGAGCAGTGTAACTCGTTTGATTCATAACCAAAGAGTCATCTCAGAGCCAGATTTCAATATTGGCGGAGCATCAGGCTGCAGCCCTGGCCCGTTTCTCAGGGCACCTCATGTTCTAGAACTGTGTGTGAGACCTTTTTTTTTATCCTGCCTGCCTGCCTGTTCACATTTAATTTGTTCCTGGCCGTGTGCAATGGATTAACATTTCATCAGGGTGGATTAAGATTGAATTGACATTAAAGCGGTCTTTTTCTATTTTCCTTCTGTCACTTTTAGGCGCTCGGAGGCAGCCGGGGGTATGGGGGGCACCTTCCGGAGCGGGAGGCAGTGCTCATCCAAAAAGTGCTCTGGTGAGGACGAGGGAGATAAGCCAGAGCCTCAGTGTGACAGTAATTCCCAGTTGCAGGTCGAGAGGCCTGGATGGAGCCCGAAGCTGGCTTCATCAGTCTAACGAGATGTCACATGGAACAAAAGCTTTAGGGGTTTTATTTAGCTCCTAATCCGCACGCTGAGAGAGCCGCAGTCCATGTGAGCACGCCAAGGAGGGGGCCCCAGCAGGCTCGATGCAGCCTCCTTTCTGGGACTAAGCCGTAAAGAAAAGACCTCTCGTGCTACCGTTGGGGAGTGAGGCAAAGTTACCGTGAGTGTTGTGTTTTGTCTGCTAAGGTTTCGGACGATTAATAATTTAGGCCGTACTTTGAAATAGGAACCCCCAGTTGGTTGTTCCTGCCGTCTCGGAAGGGTTAGGATCCAGCCAGGTCTGGTTTTGATGTATGTAATTGAAGATTTATAAAGAGAGGCTTCCTCCTCTGCCTCGGCCGCAGTCATCTTTTTTCCAATGCCGGTTCCCAGCAGGCGTATAAATATTGGGCGTTCGCAGAGCTGGGATGCTCCCGGGTGGTACGAGGGCCCCTGGGAGATCGCTGAGGCTCCAGGGAGGAGCAGCTCTCTGACCGACGGAGGCGGAGAGGGACTGTGGTATGAGCAGTCTAACCCCAGGCTGCAGGTGGCCGCCATGCCCGGGGCCGCCGAGCCCTACCTCCACTGGGAGGCCTTGTGCCACTCCGGCGCCGGAAGGAAGAGTTCTGTTCCTGACTTCACCTTTTACGACAGCAGACAGGCAGTCATGTCTGCTCGCGGTGGCCTGCTGCCTCGGGATTACTACGGCGACCCATCCGGAGCCGCTCGGGCGCCCAAAGAGCCTCGCCACCATCGGGACCCGGGAGTCGGCCACCTGCTACCCAGTTATGGAGTGCTTGGCAGCAGAATGACGTGGGATCAAGTGCAAGGCCGGGTCCCTGCCCTGCAGGACACTGGTCACCTGTACCCGGATCCTGGAGGTAAAATGATCCCTCAGGGGCAGCGGACGCAGAGCAGGGCCCTGTCGCCCACGCGGTATGCAGGGGAGCTGGCCGACAGCAGGTGCGGAGTGGAGGCGCCTGCCTACCCCTCCAGCCAGGTCTACAATGATGTCGGCGAGAGGCCCGCAGACTCCACCGCGGCTAGACAGGCAGCCCCCACGTGCCTAGTCGTGGACTCCAGCGCAGCTGCCGCCTCGGAGGGCAGCCCCGGGGCAGCCCCAGGCCCCCTGAACCGGGGCTACGGACCTGCCCAGGAAAGCGTCCACTCCAAGGTGGCTTATGAGAATTGTGAGAGTGACCTGTCCACCTTCCAGGGGCCCGCGGGCAAGAGGAGCGTGATGCCCGAGTTCCTGGCCCTCCTGCGGGCTGAGGGTGTGGCGGAGGCCACGCTGGTGGCCCTGCTGCAGCAGGGCTTCGACTCCCCGGCCGTCTTGGCCACGATGGAGGACGCGGACATCAAGTGTGTTGCACCCAACCTGGGCCAGGCCCGCGTCCTAAGCCGCCTGGCCGGCAGCTGCAGGACTGAGATGCAGCTGCGGAGGCAGGGCCGGGCAGGCCCGCTGCCCCGGACACGCTCCAGCAGCTTCAGCCACCGCAGCGAGCTCCACGGTGACTTGTCTTCTCTGGGTGCCTCGGCCCTGCAGCCCCAGCCTGGGGGTCCCCTGCAGGCGGCATCCGCCCGAGCTGGAGACCCGGCTCGCCGCCCCTCCAGTGCACCATCCCAGCACCTCCTAGAAACGGCAGCTACCTACTCTGCCCCCGGGGTGGGCACCCAAGCCCCCCACTTCCCTTCCAACTCTGGGTATAGCTCTCCTGCCCCTTGCACCTTGACAGCGCGGCTGGGCCCCCCATACGCCCCACAGGCCGGGGTGGCCTTGACCAACCCAGGCCCCATGACCCCCCTTCATCCAGGCCCCAGAACAGCCTACTCCACGGCCTACACGGTGCCCATGGAACTGCGGAAGTGGCAGCGCAGTGTGGGCGCGTCTCCCCTGCCCAGCCCCCACGGCAGCCCCCAGCTCTTGCGGAAGCCCGGTGTCCCCGTGGAGCCGTCTACCCTGCCACCAGCCAGCCAGAGCATCCACACGCCTCACTCATCCTACCAGAAGGTGGCCCGGCGGACAGGGGCCCCCATCATCGTGTCCACCATGCTGGCTCCGGAAGCAAGTAATGCCCCCCTCCCTGCCTTTCCTCGCCTAGGACATTGAGGGGACAATGCAGGCAGAGTTTTGAGCACAGGACAGTGAGCCAGCCAGCCAGTTGACGGGGGCTCTCTTGGGTGAAACGGATTTCAGTGCAGGCTGACCCACTGGAACAGCATTGCCTCCCCTTTCTCTAGTTGGGCTCAAGTTGATTTGTGGATTTCCCTTTATGGTGGTGAAACACAACTGTGTTTCTGGGAGAAACCCAGAAATCATTCAGAACAGAATGAAACCGTCAGCTCACGGGGGTGGCGTTTTCTCCAGCTCACATTCGGTGGCTTTGGAGAAAGCAGGGATATTTATTCAATCCTCCCATAAATTGTGCGTCATTCAGTTGCCATTAGAAGTGCATTATAGTGCGGAAATGCACCTCTGACGGGTCTACACACAGCATCAGAGGTGGGACTACCCGCCGTAGAGCTAAAAACGGTGTGCTTCCAGACTTGTGTGTTAAACAAAGCAAGATGTTGAAATCCCTTAGAACTCCGTTTCAAAAACAGACGTGGTCTCACATATTGGAAAATACAGTTGGGAATTCTGTTTACTTGTAGGGAAGAATATATTTCCAAGTCGAGGGAAGAGATAACGATCCTAGGTGGTTCTCTTCAAAACGTGAGACAAATGTAATCTACTGCATGTGTTTCCTTGGGCATTGTGGATTAACTTCCAGGTCGACATCCTCTGAACAGCACTTAGAATTTTTATTTTAACTCTAGAAGCTTTACTGACAATTTAAGCTGAAAATCAGTTCTCTTCCCTTTTTTCCACTTGCCTCCCTAGCGTAATTTAGAAAACTGAATCCTTTTTAAATGATTTTTTTCCTAAATAACTAGTATTGTGGATGGACGTAGTGGGGTGAAAATAAGAGGTACCTTTTAGAAAATATGCCTTAAATAGCTGTGGTGGGTGGGTACTGGGAGCTGATCTAGAAACCTTGAGATGCTGCGTTAGTTTTATCTATCATACCGGTGGAACCGGTGATGGTTTGGCTACTACTAGACTGAACTGGCTTTTGTTGCTTTACAGCTTGACCTCCAGGCATTTTTCTTTCTTATTTCCGAAGGGAGATGGAGCAACTAGTTGAATTTTCCTGTTGTCTCTCACTATGGATTCTGGTTTTGTCTCATCTGTGAATTTCTTTTTAAGTCTGTCATACAATTTATTTGACTTTTTTTAGTCAGTGTGCGACAGGAGAGAAGTCAGATAATTTTTCTGAGGGCCTGTGCCTTCTCCCTCACAGTCAAACGTTCTTTCTTTGCAACCAACTAATTTGCATGGCGGTGACATTTGTTGCTCCAGTAATTTCATCTGATAATGGCCGGGCTTGCAAAGCGGATCTGAAAACATATTCCTTAATTATGTGTTGCTAAGCAACTGGAGGGTTTGGTCATAATCACAGAAAGATTATCTCCTCGTTGAAGTCCTGGAAAGGTTTTGCTGAAGGAGGACCTGTTAAATTGCCTTATTTTCTTCTTTTTCTGTTAATTTTGCACTGCCTTCTATCAAAAACATTCACTGTTATTTGGGTATGGGGTGAGGGAGATGTTTAAGTTGTTAGGAGTGTGATTGTTAACACACAGTTTTGCAGACCAAAGGATATTGATTTTTGTTTCATTTGCCTGGCAGCAAGCCAATGCCAAGGAAGTCTGCAGTCGGAAGGCTGCCAGCAAATAAATTTCTCTGTCGAATGATCTATCCCGTAGCTGTCGTTTTCCTCCTCGTTCCTTCTCGTAGGTTCAGTGTCTCATTATAACCCTCCCCAGAAAGCAGTGTGTCGGGGGCCCGGGGTAGGAGCTTGGCTTCCCGGGAGCTTTCCGCCTGTATAATGGTGTTTTGTGTGGCAGGAGAATCAACAGCCAGAGTTGGATCTGTTGGAACCTACAGTCATGCTCCTGGCGAGTCGCTTTGCCCCCAAGAGGATAACATTTACGTTTAAGGAAAGCCCCACAGACCTCAAGTTTAGAAACCCAAAGCTTGTGCCGGGAGCTCCACCTTGGCTTAGCTGCTGAGCTGGGCTGAAATGGGAGATGGCCGTCTTTAAATCTAGATTTAGCCACCTCGGTCATCGTGGCACAGCCAGCATGAATAAATATTTCGTTTTGGTCTTCTCTTCACCTAACTCGAATGGTTCCCTCTGATCTGGAGGGGCAGGGAGTGGATGCCTAGGCAGTGGACTGCCTTCTTTCCTTTTGGAGAGGCAATCTGTGTGTTTACAGTGGGTTGTGTGTTTGTTTTTAAGTGCCTGGTTTTATTTTTCTGTGCTTGGGGTATTTTAACATACATTTGCTGTTCTTGGTTTGTGAACTGAACTACCTGCTTCAGCTGGGTTGCCTTATGTTGGTGGAAATAAGAGGCTCCTGTGTGTTAGTCCGTGGACCAGGCAGCTCGGGGTGCCCAGGCGAGGAGGGACCCTCGTGCAGCCACCAGCCCATGTGACGCAGGATTAGTGGGCTGCATGTCAGACCTGCGTGAGCATCAGCACCTGGGGTATCTGCTGTTGCTCACACACTGACCTGGGTGACTGTGGCACAAGCTGTAGAACCTTCCGGCAGTGGCTGTAACCCAGCAATGCCCCCTCCCCCGTGTCACATGGTGCCGACCACGGCCAAGGGTTTGCTGTTGCGAGAGCCCTCCCTGATGGATTCAGCAGGGCACGTCATGTAAACAGCAGTGCCGCAGCCATTTTCATGTTGCTGTCCTCCCCCGATATGACAGAGCACTTAGGCTGCCCGGGGCTCCGCTGAGGAGCAGACCCTGTGCTCAGTTTAACGTGTGAGAGGTGCAGCCACAGCTCACTCTCTCTGGGGTTTTTCCATTTCCTTCCAGTCATTTTTCTGGATGCAACTGGATTTATTAAGTGCATTTGTGACAGCCATCTAGTTGCCCGCGGCGCTGCCCGAGGAGCCTTCAGGACAGGACAGGCGGTGTCCATGGCCTGTTTACTCTGGGGCTGTGGAGGAGGCTGGTGGTGGTGATCTGTCACCAGAGCTGATCGCTCACGGGGCGTGTTTGTTGTGGTGCTAAACTTGTGGCACTGGCTGGCAGCGCCGTGGGTGTGCACACCTGGTCTCCTGGGTAGGAGGGCCCCCGGAAGAACACTGTAGTCATGTCAGAATCCCCATAGAGCATTGTCCTGTTGGGCCCACGCACACCTGGTGATTCCTCGTGTATCCTGGGCTATCACGAAGGTGGGTAGGGGAGCAGGCAGTTCGCTGGTTTTGAGGAGGCTGATCCTCAAACCATTGGTCTGGAGGGAGGCTGCAGAACCACCACAAGGCTCTAAAGAACCCCCCCGCCCCTCCCAGATTACACCCATTCCCCACCCCCAAAGCAGAGCCAGCCCAGGAAGGGTAGGCTTGGTCGGCTTCCCCATCTAAGCACTCGGGGACAGTTGGGGGATTGGGGGCAGCTCTGGGGACCTGACCCTGAGCTGGCCCTGCAGAGCAGCAGGGAGATGCACCAGCTTTGGCAACTGAAGAGCCTTACTATGTCAAGATTGTGCAGTCTGGCTAAAGAGACTCAGAAAGGAAGTAGAGAGGCATCTCTCCGGCTGCCGTCCAGGGCCGGAATCCTGACCAAACCACTCACTGAGCAGGGCAGGGCGTGGTTCTGCGCGGGTTCGTTGGTCCTTCGTTCCTTCAGCACTGAGCAAGCCGCTGCTGTGTGCCAGGGCTGGGGTCGGATGCCTGGCACCCACAAGTGGACGAGACCCAAGCCTGGGGGCTGGGTGGGGGTGTTACTGCGACCTGAAACAAGGGCCAGGATAGGGACACACATAGGGGTCCCTCGGAGCCTGGACGCTCAGGAGAGCGTCCCTCAGGAGCACGTGTGGCCTGGCAGGAAGGCTGAGGGCAGGGCATGAACTCCAGAATGGCCGGCAAACTGCACACGTCGCGGTCGGGCCAAGGGGACGGGACACTGCCCAACCGCACGAGGGAGCGGGGGACCTGTGTGGGTGGCTTACGGCCTGTGGGCTGTTATGGTCCTGGCTGTTGCTTTGTGCCTCTCTGGGGCGTCTCCTGGATTTTGTCGTGCAGAGTGACGCATACCTCCGTGGTTGAGAAATTCCGTTCTCCTAGAATGGGAAGGGGGCTGTGCGAGGCCACCCAGCCAGGGCTCTCCTCTCCCTCTGGCCAGGGCCCTTTTCTTGGCAGAACCTCCCTTCCGAATCAAGCTCCTGAGGAGGAGCCGTGTGCTCCAAGGTGCTGACAGCCTTTCCAGGTAAAACACCTGAGGCATGTCCAGCGGTGTGGTAAGATCGACTGGCCTTCATTTTGCTTCTTAGGGCCCCCTCGATTCCTGTCCCCTGTTGGGAGCTCGCTGGATTGATCTTGTCGTTCCGGCCATCACTGTTGACTCGGCTGTTTTCCCAGAGTGGGAACGACCGTCTCTCGCCTGTCAGTGACCGGAAGAATTTGGACCATGGTCATTTCCTCCTTACCAGCTAAACTCAGAACCTGAGCTTGGCGTCGCCCTTTGTTATTGTAGCTGGTTTTATTGGGCTGAGTCTGAATTTCTCAGTTCCTTATTGGGCTCCTGGGAAAGCCATGGACCCCAGGAATGTGATTTCAGCCCAGGAACATAAGGTAGTTGAATGTGTGACTAAGGGGTGTACAGCCTGCTGTGTGTCTTCAGGTAAGTGCATTGAGTTCTCTGTTTCTATTTCCACGTTTGTCAAAGGAGGAAGGAATTAAACCTGCCTCGTGGGCATGAGTGAGAATGCAGTGAGCACAGGAAGAAATAACTTGAGTGTGGAGGTCATTAAACCAGCTTGGCCTTGGCCAGGGGCTGGGCTCATTTGAAAATGGTGCTTTTATCATCAGCATTGTCTCTTGGCCACTTGTAAGGCTGGGAGGCAGTATGCTGGGCTGTGGGGCATTTGGGGGGCCCAGAGGCCGGGCTTGTCCCCCAGCTCTGGGTCCCTCAAAGTAACCTCCTCGGACGTTTTGGGTGTGGACTTGGTGC